GGGAGTGCAAAGTTTTTGCTTCAAGTATATAGAAGATTCCAAATTTTGACTGTCAAAAACTGGTAAAGTTAATAAAAGGCTGAAGCTTATGTTTTAACTATCGTTTATCTAACATATAAAATTCTCGTGTCACGGTGTTTGTAATTGAATTTCCCGAAACGGCTCGACCGATTTTCGTGAAATTTTGTGTGCATATCGGCCAGGGTGGAGAATCAGACGACGTCTATTTTTCATCCCCCTAAATGTTAAGGGTGGTCCACCCTAAACATTTTTTCTACCCTACAAATAATTTACATGGCAAAACAACATTTGCCGGGTCAGTTATTCTAATATATAAAATTCTCGTGTCACGGTGTTTGTAATTGAACTCCTCCGAAACGGCTTGACCGATTTTCGTAAAATTTTGTGTGCATATCGGCCAGGGTGGAGAATCGGACAACATCGATTTTTCATCCCCCTAAATGTTAAGGGTGGTCCACCCCTAAATTGTTTTTTTATTTTTTATATAAAAATTTTTGTTTTTATTTTTTTATGATACAGCATACAAAAGTACATACAAGCCTAATTTTTCACCCCTCTACGCAGGCGTAGTCGCGGGCAGCAGGTAGTATGTATATAAATATTGTCATGGTAGATTAAAATTCAAGTTTATTGAGTTGACAATCAAGATAAGAAAATTGCTAAGCAAATCCAATTTCCAAATTTTAAACGAATTAACCCCGGCAAAGGTCAACAGGTAAGTATTGAATATGTGCTGGTAATATTATCCTTATGAGCCGGGTAGGAAGATATTTGATAATCGCGACGGGCCACCGCAAGGTATTAGTATGCGGTGGGCGGGCGAAGGCGTCCGTATGAACTTGGATTACGCACGACGTCAGCGCCAAGGAAATGCTGAATGGCTTTAGCAGTGTCAATCCTTTTACCGTCCGTTTACTTCTTTGTGTGGTGGTGGCAAATTAATAGGTCTTTATTTTGGTTACTATATTTATTTTTATTTTTAACTAAAATAACTTTGCTAAATAATGCAAATACAAATTGGCTTTAAGTTCTAATTAAGATGTATATTTTTTTTAACAAAGAACTGTGGATTTTGTTTCAAAATATAACAAATACAATATCGAAACAGCGGGTTTCGATTACCACATTCACCAGAACGAATAGCACACTTTTCTCCAGGCTGTGGTACTTCCCCGTCCACTTGTGCAGTGTCTCTTCTATATCGATCAATCGTGATTGTTCTACTTTCAAAAAAGCATAATTAATATTCGTGAATATGATAACAGTAGTAAGTAGTAGTCAAGAGAGTGTCAAAACTATATATACTTTTAGTTAAGTCTAAAGCGTTTTGGAACCAAGCATTTAAACATAGATTTCTAGACATCGAAAGACAACTCGAAATTATGCGCCACCAGTTATAAGGTGTTTGTGGATAATTTATGTCCTTGGATATAAAGCTATAAGCTATCTTTATAATATTTCCGCCGTTCACGGGTCAGATCAAAGTACTTCTAAAGTTCTCGGATGTATATTGAACTATTGTATTTGACCACCGCTTTATCTTAATTATAACTTGATAAATAGGCTGTTTGGTTTAACCGTATCATCTCTTTAGCCTCATTATCGCAGCTAAATAAATAATGAGGTCCCAGAGAGTACACGTCTATTGAATTTGTTTAGATAAATAGAAAAGAAGAATTATTAGCTAGTTATAATAAAACGCGCTTACAAACGTCTAGGCTTACAAAACAAAGTTAAAGGATTGTAATGACATTTTTTTCAATTATTTTAGAACTAGTTGCCCAGTGCGAAATTTTCACACAGTACCAAGGTGGTAATATAACGTGTAAATAAATTTTAAATAAGTAAATTCAGTATATATCGATATCTTTCATTTAAATAAATTATCAATAGATGGCATTATTATACATTATTTTTAAGAAGCTTATAAACAACAACATTTCATAGAATAAGTAACTTTTCTATTTGTCTACTTTTTGTCAATAGTGGGAAACATTGATATGACATATGGCATTTGACAATTGAGCAATTGGAATATTAAACTGCAACAAGTTTGCACCTTATTCACAATTATTATCACACTCCACTGGCAAGCTTCAGGTGTTTTTTTTTTATGCGAAAAGTTGCCAAACGAACAGGCGTTTCACCTGATGTTAAGTGAATACCGCCGCCCATGGACAACTGCAACACCCGATGGTTGCAGATGCGTTGACAACCTTTTAAAAATTCGGCTCCGGCCACCTCACTCACCAGACGAAACGCGAAAATATTATACTTCTACTTGATGCCGGTCTTCTGTGAGGACGTGTTACTTACCTGGACGAGCCTGCCCATTCGTGCAACAGGCTGCTGCGTGGCCCACCATAGTAAAATAATCAGCGAACATAAGACATTTTGCACACATGGAAGTTTATTAACTAGTCCTGACCAGTAGGGATTGGAAGTATGTTCTACTTAATCAACGTAGAGCTGCCGGCGTTCATGTAGTTGGCGAAACTTAAGCAGCCACAGTTTATATGCAATTTCAATCTTAAATCGTACTTAATACGTCAAAACAGGCAGCACTGGTATTATCTGTGTACATCAGCAAATAACTGACTTTACTGCGTGCTTCTCTAAAGCCATGCTGCGCATAATGAAACTGCAAATCATTTTGTGATACTTTAGCGTGTAGCGGGGTAGCCCCAAAGACCGTATGGAAAGTAAAGCTAGCTATTGGTCTGAAATCATCTATTACTTCTCCGCCCTAACATTTGGGGACTGGTACTAATAGTGTACTACGACCACTCTGCCAAGAGTGTCCGATTAAGAGATTAAGTTAGTTAGTTAAGATTAAGTTCTGTACGTTAGTGGGTATGCCGTCTGATCCTGCCCATCGCTTAAGCTTTAGTTTCTAAGGTGGCTTTCCACGTCCTTGAACTTTGTGTTCAACACTACCGTGTCATTTCCTACTCTGATAAATAACGCTGAAAAGAAAGATTCAGCACCAAATCTTCAAGATAAATATACCTAAGGCATTAATTGTGTACACCTGAAAAAACTCCAGATTGTGAAAAATAAATTGGTAGTGTTTTGTGTGGAAAATGTCGCTCCGGTAATGTTCACATCTAACCCTGTTAAGGAAGAGGCCGAAAACATTTCGGCTCCACCGAGGGTCTAGCCCGATAGCACTACGCACACGCACGGTTAAATTATAATAATTAGCGTTTAATCAGCTCGACACACAACAAAGAAAAGTAGACAGTTAACACGGGACAACGCAAAGGAAATAAAAACGTATATATTAAAATTATTTACTTTTCTTTTTTATTGCTTACTCTTAAGCTGAATAAGTGTTTGGCGACTAATTATTTTAATGTTTGAATATAATATTAACTTGGCAGACCCAAGAACTATACACTCATTTCCTATGTACAGAGGAGGCGGATGCCCAGCAATAGGACATAACAATAAACATAAACCTACGTTTTATTTTTCTTTGTTATTTTTACGTTTTTAGACTAGCTTATTAAAATGATGATAGTAAAATCTGTCAATCGCGTTGAAAATAAAAGAAACCGTTTCTTACAGGCTACTAGATGCCAAACGTCGTCGAGTGTAGGAGTATGCACTGCGGGAAGCGAGGTTTCATTATTCAAAGGCGTGAATATTGTATGCGGAACATGTTCTTACCCGATTCATTACCCACAATTTAAACTATACTGTGCGAACCCCAGATATATAGCAGAATTTTGAACAGAACCTTCCTTAATTTTGTTATGAACAGAAATTTAAGTACGCAGTTTATTGGAGATGATGCTTTTTGTATCCGCATTATGGTTACAAAAGCGTCATGAGCACGCTGCGGGCAGCACAGCGTATTTTTTTTGAGAATAAGGCAACGGACAATAACTTTATTAAAACTAAAATAATAGTTAATTTATTACTCAAGAACTAACCAAAGGATTGACTTGATATTTATTCATAAAATAGCTATTGAATTGGAAAGTGCTTGTATATATTTTTTAATCTGAAGTTTCAACGGAAACGAGAAACAAAGCCACAGCGAAGCACGGCCGGGTATTATACTCCTATATGTAATTTTTTTATTGTAATTGTATTAAAGAAGAAATTTATTAAGAATAAATTCATAGGTTTTACAAGTTCTTATTGTTAAATATACGTTACATATTTTTGTAAGCGTTTATATGTTACTTGTACTCGTATGAACACCATGGACGTTAATCTCTTTTCAATAGAAAAGCATATTTACTTACTTTATCTCCACCGTCGATAATGTAATAAAACAATTTTATATTAAAATATGTACCTTTCTTTTTATTAAACATTACCAATACAAATTCTGTTTTCTTTACAAATTAATATTTATAGTCTTATCTATATACAAAATATATTATGTGTAAATATGTTATTGCACTATTTTTTTACAATAGGTTTCATTATTAACATGTTGTAGTCATTATTAACAAAATTGCATAAGTACAAAAAAAATTTAACTTATTGTTAACAATATTTTATTTAAAAATGAAGTAACTTTCTTTTGTCTTGCTTTTAATCCAGTTTGTAGTTTAATTTTGAATATATTCATGATGTCATATTTATGCATATAATTAAAATTAATTTTTAAGTCATTAAATCGTTATATCAATTTCAGTCTGAAGTATAATTTTTATCGTATAATCTTTGAATTATGTAAATTAATATAGTTTCATCAAAGCGGATTAGGAATGAATTTAACATAAGATAAAATATAAAATACATCAGATTAAATAAATAAACGGAATGTACAATTCTACGTTACGTTATCTACTTTTAATTTTCCTTTGATTCTTTACTATTCCCTTTTATATTTATACGTACCTACATTAATATCTACATTGTTTAAATCTCAAATTTGAGGGTCACATTACTATAGCTTAGCTAATTCCACATATGTTACATTTAAAAGAGTTTCAACGACTACAATATTTTAAACTCTAGTCTTCTGCATTTAGGGTTTCGAAAATGTATTTATACCAGAAGCCGACCGTCTTCCCCCACGCGCCGAGTGTAGTCTGGTCTAGTTTCAATACTTCGATGAACATCTTAACTATGACGTCTTTTAATTCCTGCAGATTCAATCGAAGAAGTACATATTAGACTAGGTTTGCCCGTAAAAAAAATCTGGAATTCGAACCTGCGTCTTCTGAGAACTGAGCTACGTAGCTGATAAATAAATATGTTTAACAATTAAAAGTCATAATCGTAAAATATACGATTACCACTTTTAATCGTTAAATATACACTTTTTTGGAAGTATCAGGTAACAAGATGTTCGAGCACTCATGTGATCGTTATTACTTTAATAAGTTATTATTATATATAAATGATATTCGATAACCCGAAATCAGTGCATTTATTATACACGCGCACCCCCAGGCGAGAGTACATAATTCGAGAGATAAAATTTAATATAAAATTGTAATATACAACTCACGTGAAAATTCTGTTCCCGAATTTTCCTCTTCCGATGCGACTCTCCTAGTTTGTTCATCATTACGGCCACTACTTCTGGTTGGTTGAGGTTTTCCACCGCCTGGTTGAGCGACGCCATTAGATTGATGACGTGTGCTTTGAATTGGAAGTTCTGCGCGTACTCCTCTTCCGGCATCTTCCTTATCATCTTGAAGAACTCTTTGGCGTTAGGGTATGCACGGAAGAATCTGCACCGAAAGGCAATAGGAGGATGTGAATACTAGTAGCTGTGGTTATTTCTGACAAGTTTTTGATACAGCAATTTAATCTCTTATTATGCCTATCTCCTAATTAAGCATGTAGATTAAAAATGAGGGGTCCGACTTTAAAAAAACTAAAGTTTTAGAAATTAAGAATAAAATTGATAAAACTGATATCAAAACAATCTACTGTATGGACAGTCTATTGGATAAATCACACATGTCTGTCATGTCTGACATCAGTCTTGGTTAAGAAGTCATCCTTATAAATTCTCCTAATATAAGATCTGAATAATAGTGATTAATGAATATCTTTCATAATCTCCTTATAAATCACCGTTTTCAAAAGGAAATTCAAGTGACTTACATTTTTGATTAGCTCACAATAGATGGGCCCCTAATCAAGAATACGTGAGGATACGTCCGAGAGTTGATTTGAACCACGTTTATTTTTATGTGCTTCGATACGTCATTCACAATGGAGCAAGATTGAATTCGGCCGTTGCCATTGTACGGCTCTTACTCGTATAGTGATTCACTCAAATGGGTGTTGAGTGTTGAAATAGCAAGCTGCAAACTATACTGATACAGACCACATGAAGTGCTACTTTGTCTTACAACTGTTTTTCTGTGATTTGATTGACAATTTTTTAAACACTTCATTATTTGCGAATTTCGAATCTATGAATTTTACTTGCATGTACTGATTTTGAGTTGGATTTATATAAATTCAACTGTCATTCATGTGTATTAAAACTATATGAAACGTTTATGAGAAGTGGACGAAGTTACAACAGAACATTTAATGCTAATTCTGTTATGATTAAGATGGATCAAATATCATAACTGTGGTATGGCTACGCAACTGTCTTCGCTATTGCAAGAATGGGGAGGTCCGTTCGGGTAAGTACCACAACTTCACAGAAGACCGACGTGAAGTGGAAGTGTAGGTAGCCAGGGCCAACTTTTTTGAAAGGTGGCAACTCTTTTGAAATCCTACGGTATTTTCAAATGTCAATGGGCGACGGTTGTCGCTTAACATCGGGTGAATCGCTAGCTCGTTTGCCACTTTCTCACATAAAAGAAAACAAACAAATAAACTTGGATTTCCTTACCGAGCAAGACTGGGGAGAGCAAACTCAGGTATACATACGTTTTTACCTTTTGAGTAGTTCTGTGCCCGTTGCAACGGAGTCCTTGTAGACTGGAGCCCAGGAGCGCTGCACGGCGTATACCTCCCTCCTTGTGAGACCCGAGACGGGGTTGACTTCTTCGGGGTCACCGCCCCACCAAAAATAGCTCACCCATCCGCCCATTGTGTCTTTGTGACTGTTACGGCAAGCTAGAAAATCGTGATACACATCAGGGTACATATAAGATGGATAATGATTAAAAAGATTTCCATTTCTACGCTATCAAAGTAATTCATATTTAATTTAAGTTTTCTGAAACAAGGCATCAAGTTGTATATCATTATTAGTATAAATTCCACTATACATTTCGAGAATTGTATCAATGGAACCACTATAAAAGCGAATGTGACGACAATCGCTCCACCTACTAGTTTTAGTATATTATTATCATTATATATTATATATATATATATATATATATATATATATATATATCATCATCATCATCATCATATCAGCCGTAGGACGTCCACTGCTGAACATAGGTCTCCCTCATTGACTCCCACTTCGACCGGTCGTTAGCGGCCTGCATTCAACGCGTCCCTGCGATCTTGGCTAGGTCGTCCGTCCACCTTGTGGGAGGCCTTCCTACGCTGCGCTTGCCGTCACATGGTCTCCACTCGAGAACCTACGGCCATCGGTTCTTCGAGCTATGTGCCCTGCCCACTGCCACTTCAGCCTGCTGACTCGCTCTGATATTTCGGTAAATATAGTTCTTCTTCGGATCTTCTCATTTCTGATATGTTGTTGTATATATATAAGTAAAGTAAAAAGTAAAGTAACAGCCTATACATGTCCCACTGCTGGGCAAAGGCCTCCTCTATACAGAGGGTATCAGGGCATAGTCCACCACGCGGCCCCACTGCGGATTGGCGGACTTCACATATCTTCGAGATATATATTTTTTTTGTTATTATTTCGAAAATATGCAGGTTTCCTCACGATGTTTTCCTTCACCGCGGAGCACGTGATAAGTCAGCACTTAAAGTTAAAAACTTCATTGGTGCCGGCACCGGGGATCGAACTCAGGTTGCTCGAGTATATTGAATTAAAGGCGAGCGCCCGGACACTGAGCTATCACGGCCTATATATATTATATATATATATATATATATATATATATATTTCATTAAATTATTTTTAGATTTGCGTTGATGTCTATATATGTTAATACCCAAGTTATTTGTACGAGTAACTTGTTTTATATTTCCCTCCAATTGTATTACTTTTCCTTATCTCTTCTTTTTATCGTTTTCCTCATATAACCAAGCAATAGATTTATTGATATTCTGGTGTACTTTATTGCGCATTTAAGCGATGCGAAGCCTGTCGTCAACGTTCAATTGGCATTAAATTGCTCTCCTTATGTTACGATAATTTTTGGCGCTGCACTTGGTCCGGCGATTATGATTTTTTATTACAAGTTCGTAATAACTATGTTTTTCAGGTTGTAAAAATTGAAAATTAATTGGTTATAAATTATTACAATACTTAAGAGACATTCTTTAAATGAAATTGACACTTACGAATGTTTTATGTATATAAGCGCATTTCTTTTGTATACAAATTATTAATTTATCACTTTTATTTATCACAAAGTTTGTTGTGTTATATATTACGCTGTGCGTTGCGACGATACCATGTGATTTTAAGTACGTTGTGTATAACGTATTTTATGGATTATATAAGTCCGGGTGGAGTATGTCCTAACACCCTGTACAGAGGAGGCCGTTTCCCAATAATATTACTTTACAAGTGCAAATAACAGCTATAGATGAGTATAAAATTGGTCTTATCATGTACTTCGGAACAACAACATTTTGTAAAGAAAGAACATATGTCGGAAATGTCAATAATTGCGAAAATCTTCTTCTTTCTCCTTTCCTTATTTCACCTCGGTGAGGTCGGCACAACATGCATGAATCATGTTGTACTCGTATTGGTTAGATTTATTTATCTTCTTGGGGAAAAACACCCAGAACCAAGGTCACACGAATACTTGTCCTGTGTGGGAATCGAACCCACGAACCCGGTGCCGAAACCAAATTCTTGGCAACTACGTCACCGAGTCATCGTCGTCTAAACGTGGCCGGGTTATTTTTCCTATTTCTAATTTCATTAGTATGTAATGTCATCTATGTAATATAACATATAGTTAATTTTCAGAGTTCACGTATTGCTGTATACACATTACGCATTTTCATCATCATTAATCTATTTATCTATATGTCGCACGGAAGAAAAAATTTAGGCTCAATGGTGCGGCAATGATGTTTGCATGAATTATTTTTCCTTTGTGTTTGTCGAATGGAAATGAAAAAAGTGTTGGAAAAATAGTAAAATGTTGGTAACACATGCAACTGGATTTTTTAAAGTTACACCCGTGTTATAGAAAAAGAAGTTGTTGAAGTATGTAATATTTAAAAATTGATATTTGTACACATTAAGGCAAAAATAATTGAGGAGGGAGAGGTCAAAGTGTTTATTTCTTATGAACATTAATAAGAAAACAATTCGTATCTATTCTGTTTTTTCTTTATGGTTTGAAAGAAAAAAAAATGGGGCAGTTTGGGGAGTGCCGACAGCAGTGAAAAATTAAGATAGTTAACAATAATTTTGTATTTCAGTATCTCAGAGGTTAACAGCATTATGCGACAAAACACAAATTTTACAGGAGAGGCAAAAATGCTTGCAGTGAATCATTGAATGCATTATTGATTATGATGTCATATACGATTGAATATTTTATTAATTAGACGTTGTAGGACTTAATGATTTAAATAATTTTGAAAAATGTGGAGTAGGTACTATTGTGAGCCTGTGAGGTACAGAATTAATAATTATTTTGTTTATAAATAATACATTTATCTATAAACAAAATAATTATAATGTTAAAATAATTTTTAATAATAAATTTTACGTTAAAAATAATTATTATATATAATAATAATAATTAAAATAAATCAAAAGCGTGCGGTGACGATGATCCGAGTTACATGATTTTTGTGTACCTAAAAAGTGCTCAACGCGCCTAAAGAATTTTTCACTTCAAAAACTTGTTGCTGCTGTCAAAAAAAAGGAGCAATAACAAATTTTGTATTTTTACTACTGTTGTTTACGTAAGTTTGAAACCGTTATATATACAAGATAATAAAATAAGCAAACGCTCACGAGGTGACATGCAAATTATCTTAATAGATATGACAATGAGATGTTCTGGATTACTTCAACAAAGTACATTGACACGTTAATTATAATCACGTGCTTTAAAGTTAAATAATGTCCGCTAAATTATGACTTTTGATAACACTTGGTGTTTTATTTATTGGTGTGTATTATTACTTCTTACTTGGTGTAAGAGTTTTTGAATAAAGTTACAAAAATCATTTTAAGAGAAACACTGCGCAATAAGTACTCGGAACACGGAAAGAAAGGTCTCTCTGTATTCTGACGCGCAATAAAAATAAAGTAACAGCCAATACATGTCTCATTGCTGACCTCCTCTGTACAGAGGGTATCAGGGCATAGTCCACCACGCGGTCCCACTGCGGATTGGCGACTCCACATATTTCGAAATATTTTTTTGTTATTATTTCGATAACATGCAGGTTTCTTCACGATCTTTTCCTCCACCGCTGAGTTGATACGAGAGAGTAGACTCAGCACTTAAAATTAACAATTTCATTGGTATTGGCACCAGGGATTGAACTCAGGTTACTCGAGTATATAAATATAATACAGTAATATTACCTTAAAATATTACCTTACTTATATACATAAATATGTACAGGTAAAATATTTTACTTTATTATTAACTTTTTACATTACACAAAATTTAACATTACAATGGTGAAATAGAATCTTATACTAACACGAATTTATATAATTATACTAGTTAAACCGTCTTAAATTTTCGAACAGAACAGTGTTCAGTCACTGAATCTTAATGTAATAATGTGTAAATAACAGTGAACATAAATAAAACCTTATTGTTTTATTTGCGTTCACTGGTAAATAAGTATTTACCAATTACACGTATCTTGTTTTGAAAAAATATAGTTGTTATCTTTCAATTAAATAAATTTTCAATAGATGGCATTATTATACATTCTTAATAAGAACTTTTGGGACGAAAGTTTTTTTATGATAACATTAACTTTCTTCTGAATAGATTATTCCTTTCTTCCGATAGAAAACACCTTTGAGATATAATATAAAGATATATTTTTCACTTAATTTAACCTTTCTTTTAAATTAGATATGCGTATCGAAAACTATTACCTATATCTATTAGACATGTATATTTAGATAACTGTCTATTCTTTGTTGATTCGAAAAGCGGTACTTCATTTGATTATTTTATTAAGGTTTTTTAATATTCCAGCAGAAGAAGGACGACTAAAATTTTATTAATTAGCTTTAGCAGAAACAATTCACAAACATTACAGCTGTTATATTATTATGTAAGTCTTTCCATTTACATTGGAGTTGGATTATGTGCGAAATGAAAAACGACTTCGTCACAACGAAGTTGCTGTTTTGAGGGCGGTATTAATTATTTAAATATGAAAATCAAGTAAAAAAACCTATTCTTTTTCTACTAACCTAGTCCATCCAAAGGTTGTCTGGGAGAGATTACTTTATGTGATAAGGTCGCCCATTGTACAGCCCATACGTAATTGCTATTTAAATGAATTTTTACCATGGTGTGTGCAATAAAGAATATTAATTCATTCCATTGATAACATCCATTTATTCTTGACTAGCGACGGGCCCCGGCTTCGCACGGGTGCAATGTGTTTTACATATAAACCTTCCGCTTGAGTCACTCTATATAATAAAAAAACCGCAACAAAGACCCGTTGCGTAGTTTTGAAGATCTAAGTTTACATAGCAACAGACAGACAGCGGGATGACTTTGTTTTATACTATGTAGTGATGACACCACGCAACAGTCTTCTTGTATCTTGTATTAACTGAGGTTTTTGCTTTCAGTCCCGAGACTATTAAAGCTTCATCTGACGCAGAACCGGTGGGCTAGCCAGAACTCACGGGTTTGGGCCCTCCGCTGTGGGTAGAGCCACGCATGTTCTCATGCGTGCGTTTAACTATGTGTGTCATCTAAGGGCCATCGAGGTCGCGGTTCAGACCGAAACCCCGATGGCCGTCGACTGTGCAATTAGCTAATCGGTGGCTGGGAGCGGTGAGAACCGCCCCGGAACGCGGGTGTACCTTGTGTACGCGTTGTGTTGGTCTCGCCGTGCTCGGAGGCGAGGGCGAACTAGTGTGTTTGTTGTTGCACTAACTGTGGGTGTAGTGTTATCCAGGCGGGACCCCCGGCGGTGGGTCCGGCGTATCTAAGTCCCCTTCCTCGACCGGGTCGATTAGGACGTTTCGCGGGCGACGCTTGTTGACGTTCGCGTTTGTGTTGGGTTGGTAATTTGCACCACGCAACAATGCGATGATGCACGAAAGGGCTGGTAAGTGGTAAGTGCCACGAATACCCCACAGAAGGCCGGCGTGAAGTGGAAGTAGCCGGGGCCGACTTTATTAGGAGGCGGTAACGCATCTGCAACACAACGGGTGTTTTAAATTGACCATTGAAGACGGCGGTCACCACTTAGTATCAGGTGAACCGCCCGCTCGCTTACCACCTTGTCACACAAAAAAAAACTATCAAACAACTGTTCAATTCGGGATCCAGCCATCGCTGATGTGTTGGGCTTAAATAGCTATACAGTAAATTGATCAAATTTCCATTTTGAATAAGAACTATTAATTCTTTATCTGGTTATCTACTAATTGTACTGATTCACATGATGTTCAAGACCATTTTGAGCGTCTGATATCCTCAAGTTTATTCTTTTACTAAGGTTGTAGTATTGTATTTCTTAACTCCTATTTCAAATATTAAAGTTGGATCGTATCCAAATTGACGTGAACTTGGAAGTAACTACCGAATACTTCTTTCAGGCACATTCACGGAGAACTTTGCCTACTTGAAATAAATCTTAATGTTTTAAGTTAGATTAAGTAAAGGGCAAAGTTTGGTAGCTTCTAAATTGGTTGATAAATCTCCATTATATTGAATGTTGGTATTGGCACAACTACCTTACATACGTAAATTCGAATAAGGTCCTTATTTCCGTATTTCCGATTTCTTATTTCCGTATTATTTTTTTAGTTTTTATTAAGGGAAATTTTTTTGAATCAAAAATCCGATGTCGTAAATATTATTTAAAATTGTTAAAAGATAAAGTAAGAAGAAATAAAAAAAACATAATTGACACGAATTAATAGCGAATAACAAATAGAGCTATTAAAATATTATTCCATATTGATCTTATATTAACGAGGGTTCTTAGGGTTCCGTACCCAAAGGGAAAAAAAGGTACCCCTAGTACTAAGACTCCGCTGTCAGTCTGTCTGTCTGTCACCAGGTTGTATCTCATGAACCGTGACAATCAGACGATGAAATTGTCGCAGGTGACGTATTTCTGTTACCGCTATAAAAATACTAAAAAACAGGATAAAAAAATATTTAAGTGGGGCTTCTACACAACTGACATGATTTTTTGCCATTTTTATAGATAATGGTACTGAACCCTTCGTGCGCGACTCCGACTCGCACTAGGCCGTTTTTTTAGACTAATGAAAAGAATAATTTAAAGTAATTTTTAAATGTAAATGAGGACGGATTTTATTTATTTACTTCTACTTCCTATGAGGCGTTTTTCCGTATGTTTTGCTTTTCTTACATTTGAGCAAGAATAAAATTTTAAGCAGCCAAATTTAAAAATGAAAGTTAGTCTATGCTGTTTTCAAAAAAGGCAAACACAGTAAACGTAAATACTGATTACGAGTTGTACAATCAACGAACGGCATTATGGCCTTCGCCTTTAATTTTTTCACGCATCGCTAGTTCAATGAATTTGTATGTATAAAACATAATATAGCTTAAAAATTGTTTTTGCTATAGTGGAATTTATGAAAGAATTTTTTGGTACTAGTCTCTGCACTCAAGATGAAAATTTTAAATTGTAAATTTATGTAGATGAATGAACTAAAGCTACCCCCGCGGTGCCGAAAGTTTTTGATCATTTATGAATTAATTAATGAATATGCTTTATTGCACACCAAAAATAAAATAAACAAAAATAAAAAACTTAATGTAGAAGTGATGGGTAACATGGGCTGCCTTATTACTAAAACTATTTTTTCCAGGCAAACTATAATCTACATTAATTATCAATATGTTTTATATAATAGAATTGATACATTAATAAATGACCTACCTTTAAATGTTAGGTGTTTTAAATTTAACCGCGAAGTTTTCAACTTTTATGATAACAATTCTTTTTAACACTCAGTAAGTTAATTGCCTCGTAACCGACTATATACTAGTAGAATTAAATTTTTAATGGAGAGCAAATTAAAATAGAAACAAATGTAAAAGAATCTTGCGCGATAACAAAAGATAACGAACGTCAGTTCAAATTCAAAAGAAGAAACGACAATATTAGAAACGCGCGCGCCACGATCCGAGAGTGATGTCGTACTGAGATGTCAGCTCGTTTTCAGATGTGAACTTCAAATTCGCTTCCGTTAAGTACGCATCCCTCAATAGCAACAGTGAGTTGGCATTTAATTTATAAATGTCGTACAAGAATATTACGGCTGCGGGTGGATTATGTAGATTTTTACTTTATTCCATTTAAAACGATAACAACACTCCCAATTTCGGTGTCGTAGACGAGAAACTTGTAGTGTGAAGAGCTAGTGAAGTTTTTATGAGCCTTCTGTGAACTAAGTTTCATGTACGTAACTATATTTTTTGATTATATTTCAGATTAAATTATAGTACCACTTACACGAATCGAATGGCCATTGATTAAAATAATTTTTCTAGTGAACCTACCCAACCAGGTTCAAAGAAACAAAAAACGGTTACCATCGCTTGTGTAAGTAATAGAAAAATTGTATTTCTTTGAAAGCTGTTGCTAAATTGCGATGATCTAAATAGATGTGTATCAAATAATCGATAGTTAAGGATAAACGTTTCAGTTTTGACAGGAAAAAGAAAAATACTTAACTTCAATGGACGCCGCTGTTTTTTTTATTTTCTTTATTTTACAAAAAACATTGCCCTCACTTTAGGCTAGCATTATCCTGTGTTGTAAGGACGTTTAACAAACATAAATTGCACGAGGACAAACACCCGGATGCGAAACACCTATCTGTGGGTCGCATAAATAGTTGTCCCGTGTGGGAATCGAACCCACGACCCCCGATGCCGAAGCCAATACCTTGGCAACAGCGCCACGGAGTCATCGAAACGCCAGTAACGCAAAACCCAGTGGCCTCTTTATGGTTGCTGTAGCGGGAATAGCTCTTCATATATTTGGTAACATGTTGAAAGTACTGGCCATTTTTCTTGTACCTTGTTAGGGATAAGATTTGTGAGACATATACTTTGATGTTATGTTCGAGCCATCGCTTAAAGTATGATCTTATTTTGGATTATATATATCTGTGTATTCCATACTCTGTGATAAATAAGTGCAATCAATATCGTCGACTACGATAACCTTTGATTCCTGTGCCTATCATGATAAATCAGTACGCTTGAACCTTTTAACACTCGTTGCTATTACGTTGCATTAAATTTTTTAATGCTATCTATGAGGACTCTGCTTTATGTCACTAAAAAAATAAACTCGTGTTAAACAGACAGGTTAGTTCAAAAGCAATATTTCTAGAAAACATTAATAAAAAATTATCTTTGTTTTATTCTTGTAAATATTAACCCCACTACTAAAATATTTACGGTAGTCATATTTACTGTAATTGTAAAAGGCTCTATACAAAGCGCCTTTGATAAGAAATGACGCGATTAATATAATGATAAAAATGGCAGTTGTTAAAGTTTGATCACCACTATGTGTAAGTTATGTTTCAAAACGGATATAGACCACTTAATGAGGATCTGATGCTAAAAATCAAGTTGAACACATAAATGTTAAAAATAATTCCTTAAAAATATTCCTAAATAGAACTCAATTTTGACTCTATTCTATTGACTCTATTTACGCAAAGAGTTAAATCTCCAGCGTTCTTTTTTAACGAAATCTTGAACGTCGAGTTTTTCTCCTTTGAATAAAATTTGTCCAGTCATCTCTTTTTATTCATCATCAACGTATAAACGCTTTATTTAGCACTCAAGTGTTAATTTAAACGTTAAATCGTTTGCTTTGTCGCCTCTACAATATTTGTGTACAGTGAAAACATGCTGTTTGTGACGGGGTCACAGAGTTGTGCTTTTGGTACACTGATATATAGAATTACTGTTAATTATTAATTTTAATACATTAAAGTTTCCAATTGGTATGATTCATCATCGTCATCGTTTCAGCCTGTTTGTGCCCACTGCTGAATACAGGTCTTCCACGGACCATCGAATATGTATCTGTCATACATACAATCTTTCATCTTGTGATAGGGTAGCAGCTTCTAACAGAAGTTAGTAATTTACACATAGGCCTGACCACAACCATACGACCGGTGTGAAGGGCAAATGCCATACATTTGCGTTTTGTTTGGGAATATGTTACCGGGGCTTACTTTTTGAAGTTATTCTTTTGGAAAAAGTTATGAGAGTAAAATTTTTACGATGCTTGATTTTTTTTTATGTGAAAGGTTGCCAAGCGACCAGGCAGTTCACCTGATGTTAAGTGAATACCGCTACCCATGGACATCTGCTGCACCCGAGGGTTACAGATGCCTCACTCACCAGACGAAACGTGAAAGTATTTATCATACTTCCACTTTACGCCGGTCTTTGTGAGGTCGTGGTACTTACCCGGACGAGCCTGCCCATTCATGCCACAGCCGAGGCTGCAGCGTGGCCCTACCACAGTTAAAGCCAGTTAAAATATCATTTAGTTTTTAGTCCATGACGTTTGGAGCCATAACCAACCGTAAAATACACAGTTTTACGTAAGAGGTGAAGAAATGACAGTGCAAAAGTCTTTTGTCGACGGATATTAAAAGTACTTGTGACAAATGTGGGAATGTGAAAATAAGTTTTTTAATAATGTGTATTGTTGTAATGTTTTTAAATCCAGTAGTAAATTAGTAGTATTTTTAATCCAGTAGTTAATTAGTAGTAATAAATTGTTGGTAAACCTTTTTAAATAAAAAATAAATAAGAAATGTTGTCAATATCAAAATAATATATTGCTATAAGCACGTGAGTCAATGTTAGACGTAATTTAAAAGGTTATTTCTGTACTTTTTTTGTTTTCAGAAATATGATTGTAATTATTCGACACTTAGCAATTGAGATGCATAGTTTTCATTTAAGTATATTTATGATAACTAGTGGAATTCGCCCATTGGTCGAATTTCGACCTACTACATGGTAGAATATGTATTTTTTTTTGCTTCTATTTGCGTTTAAAAGTAAAGTAAGTAGTAAAGTAACAGCCTATACATGTCCCACTGCTGGGCAAAGGCCTCCTCTATACAGAGGGTATCAGGGTGTAGTCCACCACGCGGCCCCACTGCGGATTGGCGGACTTCACATATCTTCGAAATATATATATATTTTTTTTGTTATTATTTCGAAAATATGCAGGTTTCCTCACGATGTTTTCCTTCACCGCGGAGCACATGATAAGTCAGCACTTAAAGTTAAAAACTTCATTGGTGCTGGCACCGGGGATCGAACTCAGGTTGCTCGAGTATATTAAATTAAAGGCGAGCGCCCGGACACTGAGCTATCACGGCTCTATTAGCGTTTGAGCTATTTGCGTTTAACCTTATCGAAATTTAAAGGTTGTCACCGCATCAGCCAGCCATCGGGTGTACCCCTCCGATCGGGTTCGCGCCTTGATGTGCCGGAGGGGCTTAGTAGCCGTGGCTTGGTCAGCAACAGCGAAGCTAAAAGGAACCCGCATTGGGCCGACCAGTGGCGTAAGGCCGGCCCGAGAGGGCCGCTCCGAGTGGGCTTATTGAGCGAACTCTGCATGCGTGCTGGAGGGTGCGGGGGCCAGGTCGAGGGTGGTAGAGGTGGAGCCACTCTGCCTGTCTTCTGCTACCGAGGAGGAGTCGCGGGGTAAGAGGAGGGTTTGTATTGTGTTGCCCGCGCACCCTATCCTCCGCAACTCGGCGAGGCTGCCCCTTTGATGCAGTGGTGGTGGGGCCGCGGGGGAAGAGGAGTGTCGGTATTACGGAGCGTCGTTCTCGCAACCCTCCGCGGCTGTAACATGGTGAGCGGCGGAGCCACAGACCAGGTCCGCCTCTGGGGGCTGGGAGGCTTGCTGCTTATTGGATTCCCATGGCCTCTGTTCAGCGAACGCGGAGGAAGTTTGTTGGCCGTGAAAAAGGTGCCGAGTAATACTCTTACCTGGAGGAGAGGGGAGTTGATGGCCGGGAGGGAGCCACTGAGGCGGCCAGCACTGGCAGGGTCGCGGAAGAGTGTGAAAGTTCCCGTGGCCCTGCCGATATGTGCCTAGGTGGAACATCGTGGGGCTTTAGTCGGTGTGAGTCCGACATAGCCCGCTCTTGCGGGTGCCAACGCATACCCCGCGGGGTGGGTATGCGTTGGCATTTCCCCACGTCAACAAAAAAAAAGTCGTCGGATGTTGTAATGTCCATGGGTATTCATTAAACATCATGTGAACCGCCCGATGTTTAATCAATACTGTCACCCATATGGCTTTTATAAGTGTATTAAATTCATACAGATATATTATGTTCATATTTATTTTTAACTGCCATTTTCCCGAGTGAAATCGATTTTCTCCAGAGCGCCAAATAATCAAAAATACAGATTCACAGGTTTCTTTATTCCTATCAGCAAACGCAAAATCCATAATTAGAACACCAACTTAGCTACCTAGCAACCAATACCAGTGGAATAAATTCTTTTAGTAATCTTAAAAAATATATAACATTTTAGAGTTTTTTACCATTTAACAGAAACCACCGCGTATCCAGGTGCAGAAGTCATGTAATCTGCAACATAATTTATTGTATGGTTAAGTATGGTCGTCAGGTTATTAGTACATATGATGCTGGTTATCATCTTGTCTAGTATCTTAAATTCATGTACGCACAATATCCGTTGCTTATTACTGATAATGTTGTAGGTACGCTTACATTTCCGCAGAAATGATTTTTGTCAATTGATATTTTTTTAGATAAAATTTTCGTTTATGCCGACGGTGCCGTATAAATGCTTCCTTTATTATCAGTAGGCATTTATACGGCAGATAAAACCCCTAAGCCGACAATACAGCAATTCTTTCGGACAAGTTGAACGATGCCCGGATTATGAATATTTACCTGATTGCCGAAGGAGAGTAATGTTTTTCGAGGAATGTATGTCTTTACAGCCTAAACCTTATAACGGATTTCAACATATTGGTGTTATTAGAGTCATCCAAAGAGTAAAGTTTTCTATAGGGGAGTCATGTCAGTTGTGTGAGTCACATACGGTATATTATTTTTCTATGATATCCGTGAAAAAAAAAATAGAGGCATAGTTTTTTGTTTAATTTAGTAATTTATGCTTGTTTCCTGTTGTGAAACAAACATTTGCTCTAACCGACAGCCAAAGCAAATAGTAATAGTCTCCCAAATTTTTTTTGACCGTATGCCTGATACACACCATGCTATTTACTATTAATTCTATAGAGTAAAAGATTAATCTAAATACAAGATTTTAGATAATTATATTTTAATGGAAAATCATTGTGGGCGACATTTACGACGTAGTAGTTAGATATATCATTTGTAATAAAAATTTTCATATAATTATAAATACGCTATAATTAGCACTAAATTAATTACGAGAGATAATTAAGATTAAATCATTTAGTAATACTAATATTAATGTCATTATTTTATGGAAAGAAACTATACTAATATTTCCTGACTATTACGGTTAATTAACACATTCTTATTCTCTTTTAAACGCCTTAAAGACGTAGTTATAAAAGAAGGTCACAAACTTTGCCCACGATCCGATGATATCTTCTGTGAAATGAGGATCATCTCTCAGGATCCCAAGAAAAAAAACCTGTTTTCAGTGGCGGATTTGTCCTAAGGCCCAATAGGCCTGGGCCTAGGGCGGCCATATATTAGGAGCGGCCAATCGTGACAAAAAATTTACTGATGATAACAAGATATATGATGAGCTCTGAGAAAGGAGCGGCTGGAACTTCCTACATGGGATGGGGCCTAGGGCGGCCAAGACTACAAATCCGCCACTGACTGTTTTACTTTCTGTAATTGAAATAAACATCGATTTATGAGCATTAATTACCAATTAATTTTGAGTGCTAGTATCCACTCAAGATGAAACTTAATGTAAATTTTGCATTTCTAGCAGTGCTTAGCGTCAAAAATATTTCGAAAATATATGTAAAAAAAATTACATATTAATTAGTAATTGAAGTATTGTAAATAATTTTTAGTGTAAACTTAATTTTATAAAATATAATTGATATTATTATATTTAATAGCATTAATTACCCCAACTTATTTTTAAAACAACTGATACGATAAACGACTTATACAATAAACGTGAACAATTGTTTAGGTTATGCTTATTAAAAAGGATGTTGAAATAGAACAACGAACTTCTCTGTCGTTATCATAGCTATCTACCGCATTACGAGCAGTATCTATAAATGTACCACTTACATATAAATCTACATTGTCTTCAATAAATGTCAATATCTTTCATAGTTGATTCATAGGTAATATAGTTTGTTTTATTAAAATAGACCACCTCTACTATTTCTATTCTATTTATCAAGAATAACTAGGAGATATCCTAGGATCCAATCCATTTGGATTATAAAGTAAAATAAAATCTCGTTCAATGGTAAGAGATTTTTACGAGTTCACTGAATAGTTAACTGGTTGATATTACGGTATAGAAAACATACATGTAAACATGTACACCAGTACAATAATCATACGCTGCTAAAAGCGTATCAGGCGGCCAATCACGTGTAAATTAAGCTTTTTAACTCGCCGCTTTCGGTGTGTCTCGCCCAGTTTATTCATCAAAGCTATGACCACCTCTGGCTGGTGGGGGTTCATCACCGCCGTGTTGATCGAAGACATCTGGTTTATAGCATGTGCCTTGAACTGGAAGCTTTTGGACAGCTGCTCCTTGCTCATGTCCTTTACAGTCTTGAAAAATGTTTTGGTCACCGGGTCCAATCGGAAAAGCTTGCAAGCTTTTCTTTTGAATTTTTATCGCTAAAATATTATAGGCCTACTTGTTCAGTTTTACTTTTAATTTATAATATTATTTATACAAACGATTCCGCACTGCTACAAATGGAGTTATGATACTACACCATTGAAAGGGTCCGAAAAGTGACCGATCCTTGAGGATATCCAGACTGCTAGTACACGAAGAAATGAAAACCAATAAATGTTTTATTTTATTGCATTTACTTGAAATTTAAAAAGTTTAAATTGAATCCTTGTAAACTAATTGTTTTCATATATTAATTGTTTCCGTAAGCCACCATTACACGTATCTCGTGATAAAATCGCAATTTAGAACTTGTTCTGTTGAATTGTTTTCTGAAGAAGCTGGACTAACATCAAACTACACGAAAGTCATGTCGTAAAATGATTCAGACATCTTATTTTTATTCTACAACATCAAACCAAAGAGTACCAATTACTTCACTACGTTTACAAGCTGTCAAACTGACGTTGACGGTTGATTTATTATTTGACATTTATCTGTCTTAAACACGCTTTAAAATTGTCTTAATTTTGTTTTCTAATTGTTTCATTTTTCTCTAAAAAGAGGAAAGATGTCAAAGTTTAGCGAGACAGCTATTAAAAATATAGGAAAAGTTCTCAATGATCCTGCAAGACCGATGAAGGAACGTTTTCGAGCTCTTTTCAGTTTACGAAACATAGGTGGTCAAACTTCTATAGAATGTATCAGTAAGTGTTTCGAGGATGAGTCCGTGTTGTTAAAGCATGAGCTAGCTTATTGCCTGGGTCAAATGCAAGATAAAAGAGCCATTCCAGTTCTCAGAAGTGTATTAGAAGACAAAAATCAAGATCCTATAGTACGCCACGAAGCCGGTATGTTGTTATCAATCTCAAATTTTCACGTTCGTGATAAAATATTAGATAAGAAATTACACCACATTGATTTCTTATAACTGAAGATATATATACAATTTATCATATTAATCTTTCACTTGTAGTATTTTTACAGTAACATAATATGAATTTTTAATTTACCTAATAGCACAAACTCCGCTTGTTGGCATATAATTATTCATGTTATCAGGCACTTGTCTCTGTTCTAACTAGGCCTAATTTAGCCCATGTCTAAAAGGGAAATTATGAATCAAATCTCTTTTCAGATGCCTTATCAAAAGCCATATTATCATATATATATTATTTAAATGAGTAAATGTTCTACATTTTATTCTTTATGTATAAAAAAGCAAGCTTCTTCAGAATTCATTCTGAAGAATCTTGCTCTTCGTACTGGGATTTGTACTTGGGTTGCTTAGGTTCGTTTTTTAATGATCCATCACAGCTATCCATTACATAAAATAATACCTATGTTGTTGTAAAAAAAAATTGTAAAGGTTACCAAGAATTCAGTTTCCAAACTTGTAAAATTTTATTAGTGCTGTGTGTAATAATTCATAAAAAAATATTTTTTGGCCCATTTCAGGGGAAGCACTAGGTGCTATTGGTGACCCAAACCTTCGTGAGATCCTTGAAAAATATCAAAATGATCCAGCAATAGAAGTTGCTGAAACATGTCAAATTGCTCTACAAAGGCTGAATTGGGTTGCAGACGAGAGTGCTAATGAAAGTAATCTGTCAAAGAGTCCATACTGCTCAATAGATCCAGCGCCACCAAGTAGTGAGTCAGATATAGAATCCTTAAAAAATACATTGATGGATGAAAATAAAACCTTATTTGAGAGATATAGAGCAATGTTTAGTTTACGAAATTTAAGCACAACAGAGAGTATTAACGCTTTAGGCCAGGGTAAGTTTTGTGAATTTCTTATATTTGTTAATTAATTAATTATTTTATGAACGCATTCTATAATTATAATTTGTTGTGTATTACAGGTCTCAAAGCGAGCAGTGCACTATTTCGTCATGAAGTGGCTTTTGTGTTTGGTCAGATGCAAGATGAGCGCAGTGTGCCTTACCTAAAACAGACTTTAGAGGATACCAATGAGCATGAGATGGTGAGACACGAAGCAGCCGAAGCACTTGGTTCTATTGCTACTGAGGAATGTACCGAAGTACTAAAGAGGTAAATTTCTTTTAATGAAGACTTCAGTTTCAAGTATTCCAAATATAAAATGAACAAGATTTAAAAAAATACAATATTACATAATTTTATTGGGAGATAACCCATTTTTAAAATCACACAAGATTGAAAAGTGTGCATTTATTATTTTATTTTACACACAAAAGTGATTTTCTACTTCATTATTGTAATATACTCAATAAACTAAGATTTACAGAAACATGTAACTTCTCATTTAGCTTTAATTTTTAAGAACTCATAATTTTAAAATAAATTTGTTAGAGGACTTCTTTACCATACAATAGGACTTCTTTACCATCTTTTTACAAAAAAAAAAAAAAACAATGCTTCGGACAGAGTACTCCATTCCATAAACCATCTTAATATAAGCATTCTGTACATATACACAACATATACATACTATAACTCTTATTTTGATAATCTCATTTTCTTCTTTTATTATATGTCCATATTTATGTATCTATTTTATATTTATATAGCTATTTATATGTGTTATATTATTTAGTTGGTTACTTAATAATTTATGTTTTATTATATCTGGAAAACTTCAGCTATTAATAATGATAACTTGATTTAAAGCACTTAAGAAGCTAGTTACAAGTTTTCTCATTTAGGAGTTTGAATTTATATTACAGGGAAAACAAAATAAACACAAGGAATAAAAGCACATGAGTACAAAACCATTTTTATGTGAGATAGTGGCAGGCGAGCTGCCTGCTCATCTGATTTTAAGTGATATCCGCTGCTCATGAACTTTAAAATCTGCATCCATTGCATCCATGCATTGCCATGTTTTATTAAAGTGGGCCCCGGCTATCTCACTCACCGGATAAAGCGCAGAAGTGTAACACTTCAACTTTACGCCGGACATCTGTAAGGTTGTGGTACTTACCAGGACGCAGCTGCCCATTCATGCAACAGTGAAGCGTGGTGCGTGGCCCCACCACAGTAACATTCATCCTACTATCATTCACATTCAGTCATTTTCATTTTAATACGAAATATTTTTAAAAACAAATATTGATATTAGATTGTATTCATTGTTATCTTGTTTCCTAACTGTAAATATGAAATATATATCATAATATTTTGTAGAATATGTTATAAACATAAAAGAGTGGTACGCATACTCTGAAAATATGTAAGTAGAAATATTTTTTTCTTTCAGGTACCTGAATGACCCCCGTCGTGTTGTGCGAGAGAGCTGTGAGGTTGCTTTAGATATGTCTGAGTACGAAAACAGTCCTGAATTTCAATATGCTAACACCTTGCTGACAGTCAATGCTTAAATAGGGAATAGATGATTAATATTTTTTAGTCACCTTGAATATCAAATACATTACTGCTACAATGTGCACTTAACGTGAAATAAAATGCAAGAAAATTGAACAAAGCATTCTCTATCACAATTTTATTGTAAGGTCAGCTGAAAGTAATAATGTAATACAAATAACTTACAGGACCTTAAGTTTTAATTTGATCTTGTGTTTGTTTAAATTAATATGTTGGTATTTTTGTACATAAAAGTATGTAAAAACACATGTGTTTCACTAAAAAAAATTGAGAACGAAGAAAGTTGAGGGAAAACTGTAATTTGAGTTTATGGTAGATATAAATAAATTGATGTTCACACATAAAATGTTTAGAAATCGAAGAGTTAATAATAGTCTTACATTTAAGTAATTTATTTATCAATTTTTCCTGAAATAATGAACAAAAAAATTAAGTCATTTGCTAGTTACTTTTCTGTTCGATATAAATGAATAATTTGTAACACTATATGTATAACCTACAGGAGTTTTATTCTATTTTTTAATAAAAAAATATGTTTCATAGACGGCTGTCGTGACTGGTTACGCTTTGGAACGCTAAAACCAGAAACAGTTATTGGCATTTGTTGACGGCAAGTGTGGTAAAAATGTTGATATTCACAAACATCGAAGACTCAGATGTCTTAGAAAAAATGTTTCCCTTCGCTTAATTTAGGTAGCTGCTACACTCGCTCGAAAATCTGTCTATAATTTCGTTGTTTTTCGTCTGGTGGTTGAGGTAACCTTTGCTCGAAAAGGTTTTTCTTTTAAAGGTTCCCATTGTAATTCACATTAAGTGGACCGCCTGACCGCTGAGAGAACATTTGGTGAAAAAGGTTCTTCTTTTAAAGGCCCTGACCGCTGGTAGCCTTTTAAATAAAAATACCAGTTATTTCAGAATGAATAGAAAATTGGCTATTTTAGTATTAGTATTAAGTAGTAATTTTAGTTGCTACTTGGAGAAAACAGTTTTGGGAATAGGTTTCGGTTTTAAACAGCTATAAAATATCTTGAATGAACCTGACAATTTAATGCATAGTGCGGAATACGGTTTTTAGGGCTGCTTACATGTGAACTGGCCAGCAATTTCTATTTGACTCCCCAGCTGCTTTTTGCCGGATGTCTGGAAAGAGATCATAGTTATCGGCATTAGTAAACTGAACAAACCACCTAACTAGCTATCACCCCAAATTCCACCTTAATCACCTGGATAAGCTATATGGTCGCATATTTTAATAAACTTAAAAGAATCGAATAATTCTAAAACTGTGGTAGGGCCACGCAGCAGCCTCGGCTGTTGCACGAACGGGCATGCTCGTCCGGGTAAGTACCACGACTTCACAGAAGACGGGCGTACAGAGAAGTATAATATTTTCGCGTTTCGTCTGGTGAGTGAGGTAGCCGGAGCCCAATTTTCAAAAGGTTGTCAACGCATCTGCAACGCAGTGTAGCAGATATCCATATCCTAAAAGGCCTCAACCTACCCAAACAAATACCTTCTCTTTGATGTGGTGACGGTATTCGAAAGGTCCCAACAGCTTTTTTTAGGGATCTGTACCCAAAGGGTAAAACGGGACCCTATTACTAATACTCCGCTGTCTGACTGTCAGTTTTTCTGTGTCCGTCTGCCACCAGACTGTATCTCATGAACCGTGATAGTTGTTAGACAGTTGAAATTTTTCAAAGCATCCAAAGCGCCTCCAGTCGCTTCAATGACTAGTTACACAAATGGAGAATCGATGGTATGCTCGAAAACACAGTATCAATACACTTCAATCGGGCTGATAGCGAACTACACCTCCCACTGATCCGATCTCGCCAAAACAGAAAACTAGGGAAAATCACGTTGTACACAAAATCGATCTGTTTTCTTTTATTACTCACTTCGAAAACATTATGAACACGGCTGCGTTCTTATCCGGTCGACTCTATAACCTTACAAACCCGTCAAGTATCGCGTTGGACCTGTCCTACATGAAGTCATGCATGTCTTTGTCCACGTCCATCATCATTACAAACTGCAGGTTATTCAAAATAAGTTCACCCGGCTCACAATAGGTGCTAGGTGGTCTCAGTATAACCTCGACCTGCATAGCGATTGCAGAATCCTGAGGCTACGCGAAGACTTAGAGCTAACCAAACGGTTCATTGAAAGAGCCTAAAACCATTTCAACCCTCTGAGGCTAACTTCAGTGAATTCCAACATTAGAGCGAACGTTTAAAATCGTGGCCCTTGCTACGTCCTCATCGGTCCGGGTATAGGAAGAAGACATTTATATGTCTGACCCACCGGAGATCCCGCTGGATATACTACTTTACCCTCATATAATTCTAACACAACAAACCAATCAGTCCTTGCCTACGAACACGGCAAAATCAACACATCGCGTAAAAATACGCGCTCGTTTCAAGGTGGTCCACACCGCCCCGTACCTACGATTAATACAGTCAACGGACGTCGGTGTCACAGTCTGTACCGACCCTCATGCTCCGCAGGTGACATTCTTCCCCCATACATAACTTACAAATGAGCATATTTACCTCACCACCTTACCGAACGTATCAAGCTCGTGGGATCTCACAATTTCACGGTTATTTCGTTCGACAAAACTTTAAAAGTCTACAGCCTACGGGTTAGTAGCAAAAACATCAAAGTGGAAAGTAGTTGTTGACGGTTACGAATAACGTCGTCACGCGGTTTTGTGAACTGAATTTTGTTCTATTATATGTGTAGAGGTCATGGAAAGATAGATGCGATGTATTACAAATTTTAGAAAGAATGTTGCGATGTATTTACATCTCCGACTATTATTTATTTTAGACTTAGACGGTTAATGAGAATAAAATATATTTCCTTTTGAAAAGGACTCGTTGCTAGTTTTATTTGACATTGTTTTTTATTAATTAAATATGGTTAAAATTTTCATTTTATATAGAATTTTCAAATACTTAATGTTTGTACTACGAAGTATTGTAAATATAGCAACACGATCCACTAATCACGAGCGGCAAGAAAATATTAGCTTTAGGCCTTTAAGAAGGCCTGAAGCTAATATTTGCACAATCCACAACGTTAGGAGCGAGGAGCCCATCTGGTATCTTTGTGTTATCTAATATAATTTATGTAATTACGTTAGATTGCAAAGATGATGTCAGTTCTCCTGTAATTTCAGTATTTTTTTTATGTGAAAAGTTGCCAAACGAGCAGACGGTTCACCTGATGTTAAGTGAATACCGCCGCCCATGGACATCTGCTACACCCGAGTGTTGCAGATGCGTTGACAACCCTTTGGAAATTGGGCTCCAGCCACCTCACTCATCTGACGAAACGCGAAAGTATTATACTACCACTTTAAGCCGGTCTTCTGTGAGGTCATGGTACTTACCTTGACGAGCCTGTCCATTCGTGCAACAGCCGAGGCTACTGCGTGGCTCTACCACCGTGAAATTTCGGTAATACCTACGGAATGCAATTTTGAACGCTAGTCTCTACAATTCTTTGTTATAGGTACCTTACAGGTCGCAATACGGAGTTAAGAATCTAATATTGCTTAGAGTCGCTTCAGGAAGAGATACATCTTAAATTTCCTTACTAAGCCCCCTTTTTATTATTTTTTTTTAACAACAGAGGTTGTTTTCGCTCCTTATTGCGTAGATTTTATAAATCTTCATCGGTCACAAGATCCACATTGACGTTTGAAAATGCTAAATTTCAATTGGAATTGACAAAAGCCTATATAGTTTTTAATGTTAAATGATTACCGCCGCTCATGGACATCCTCAACATCTTAGTGGTTGCAAATCATGTCAAAATAGTATTATTATCTAAAGTAGTTCACGCCGCATGGTGCCAAGAACGCTAGCTGCGTTTCCTTGCTGATTAGTTATGCTTAATCTTTGAACAAGAAATAAACCAGCCCTCTGGTCGCCAGCCAAAAATTTCGATGTGCGGGGACTACACGGACCTAAAGTTTCAACAGCAAATGGGACAAATATATGCCTTCGATGCCGTCCCGGCCCTGACCTAAGTAGCCCTTAGATGAGAGGCAGCCAAAGTGTCTGCACAAGTAGCATCCCAAACAAAGGATTTGCCTCTCATAAGGAATCGAAGTCAAGCCCTTGGGTTTCTTGCCATCGTCGCGGAAAATGTACTCAGGGGTCTAAAATAGAAGGAAAGTTGATGGAAACAAGAGCCCTACAGATATAGTCCAACCAAAATCTTGTGCAGATTTATTGCAGTTTCTGTTTATGACAAATTTTGTTTTCTGTGGAAATTTTATGCTATTAGCTCCACACATACAAGGTTTTTGCCGCGATAGCGGTTAGAACGTTGTGAATTTTCTTACATGAATATTCTTTAAAATATTTATATAACTCCAACTGACCGGCGCATTTCAGATGGACGTCTGACAGTATGTTTTTGTTTTTTTTGGAACTACCCAAGACCGTTTGTGCTTCTAGACTTTTCACCTTTCGTCGTAAAAATGTGAAAATTCCTTGAAGTAGAAAGGAACCAACAAGCTTCCCGACGGGAACAACGTGCCGCGATGTCGCCTAACATCACTATAGTATGTGCCTAACTTCATTTTCGGGATTTGAGATGTAGGAGTGAGTAATCAAATAAGATGGGCGTGCTTCGGAAGCTCCATACAAAGTATGACGTTTTCTTTTATGTAAGTAAGTACTAACTTCAATTTTCTTTCTTTTTCAAACTTCTGCGCGAGTCCCTTTGTAATCTTGGGCTTCACGTGCCAACTTTGCCTTATGGATAATTCGCCACTGCGGGAATCTAAGGATCTAAGATAGTGTTTAAAAATCTAGGGAAAAAATCTAAAGTGTACAATCGGATGTTGGGACTCTGTTGAGAATTATTGTATGTTTACTTTGGTGATCTACCTACAATCTAGTTCACGTAGTATATTATACTTTTTCTTGTAAGTGCATACATATTATTTATAGGTACATATAATAAAAATTAAATTGATCGTTGTCTGTACATGGAGAATATTTGAGAAACTGTTATTATCTACGCAGTAGAATCCTAAAATATATGATAGTTAAAAAAACTCTGTTTGTCTGTTTATGTATTTGTCTGTCTGTCTGTGCGTTTGTGCGCGCTAATCTCAGAATCGACTTAAACGATTAGGGTGCAAGTTTCACTTATGCATTTTAGTAAGGTTCATTTAAAATTTAGGTTTGTTTTATTTAAATCCGTTCATAAATAAAAAAGTTATATTAATTTGAACATATTGAAGATTCCTTCAATGTTTTCTACATTTCAATTAGATAACATTATAGATAACTATATATTATGGTAAAATTATGATGATTGTAAGTTTATATAAAGTTAAAAATATCGGCCAAGTGCGAGTCCGACTCGCGCAAGGTTCCGTATGTACTTTTTAAGTACGATATAAAATGTAGTACATGCGGGCGGAGCCGCGGGCGAAAAGGTATTAGTCAATATTATAGTCGTAAACTAACGAATTCATTTATGTTAAACATAAAACCCACTACATAATACATTTCATTGGTCGTGAGCATGAGCAATATAAATGGTAAAAAGTAATAAAATAAAAAAGCAATAAAATATAAGGCCAGAACCAATATGTGAATTTAAATTCTGTGATGTTTTGTGTGATTTATATTTATAATGGATTTGTTTTGTTGCAGGAATTTCGTTTTAATTATTACTGGCATTTTAGTGAATACAGTTGTAAGTGTTGTTAATTCATCAAAAAATTCTTGTGTAAATATCCTTATTGTATAAATAATAATTATAATTCAAATGATATCAACGCTCTTAGTTGTAATTATTTCTATAAGAAATTAAGCAAATAGATTGCAAGCTAATTTCTAAATTACAGTGGATGCTACGAAGAATTATAATATTTTTTTTTATACGTTCAGTAGTCTCAAATATGTTTCGCAATTTTAACAAAAAGTTTGTATTAAAATTCAGCTTTTTTTGAGACTGACAGTAGCTGCAATAAATAACAGTACCTGTATTTTGGAAATAAAAAAAATAAAAATAAAGAAAATCTGGTATATAATCGTGATACGAAAACGCGGACGTCTGTTTTGGGGCCGCCCGATTACCGACCGAGCTATTATAATATTTTTTTGCGGTGAAATTTACTTAAATTTATTAATATTCAAATGATATTTTGTATTCCCGGAAAACAGGGATAAAAGGACATTTTTTAAAAATAAAACCTAGCTAGATCGATTTTTCGCCCCCGAATGAATCTACGCATATACAAAATTTCATGAAAATCGCTGGAGCCGTTTCCGAGATTCCGATTATATATTTATATATTATATTTATATATATTTATACAAGAATTGCTCGTTTAAGGATAAGATTAAAGCCGACTAAGTATATACTTAGTCTGATTTTAATATTTATCAATTTATATGTTCCTTGTTTTCATTTGAATTGTTTTAGGCAGCTGACTTGCTTGATACGGAGCGGGCAACGTTTTTCGGCCTGACCCATGAAATCCCTTTCAGCATTTCCACGGTGGAGTTGGTAGAGCAGCTTTACACAGTTGTGTGGCAGCACGCTCAAGGCAACAGGAGAGTGCGGCGTTACTTCGATTCGTATGACACGCCCTTTGTGGGACAGGGAAGACGGAGAATGGATCATAACTGATAATGTAGCGTATACACGCGTTAGGTAACATAAAATTTTATAATAATATGACTACATACCTGTGTGATTATTTTAGTTTGATTACAATTAAGCGACAAAGTTGTAGCATAAGATCGGTTGTATTTGTGATATTAACCCTCATCGCGATACCTTATTATTATTTTTTTGTGTGAGAAGGTGGCAAGGTGGCGGTTTACCTGATTTTAAGTGATAACCGCCCTGACTTTTGCAACACCCATAGGGTCGCAGTTGCGTTACCACCGTATAAATTGAAGCCACTCTGGATATTTCTAAGCTGATAATCATTACGACCGCATGTCTACCGTATTTGGAATTGTGAAGGTACTACATTATCATTATTTAACCAATTTATACCCCCATCTTCAGCCACATAGATCTATTCGGGGAACTACCATGATATCTTCGATTGATTACACCTTACCATAGTACGCAACTAAATACAAATCCTTAAGACTTAATTACTCTTACTTAAAGAAAATGGTGGCTTTTGAAGAGCCAATGACGAGAGACAGACACTAACTTGTGTGATGTGTATAGTTCACGGTACCTAATGTTGAAATAATCGAAGCAATTTTCATACAAGTTTTAGGAGTGAAATTTAATTCTTTTAGTTATGATTTTTTAATACCTAACATAAGTCGAAAACTAAATTTTTGACTATTACTAAACTAAATAGCGATTTTTAATTATTAATTCAGAAATAAATGTTTTTTGTATTGTTTGTAAAATGATATTTCTTAAAAAACTAGAACAGTACCAATGATGTTAGTGACAAACATGGTTTTTCCGACCTGAGGGCTTGTTCTATGTAATTTTGGTATTCGATTTTATTGATGGCGTCGTGGCTAAGTTATCGGCTTTGGCGTCAGGGTCGTGGGTTCGATTCACACACGAGACAAGTATTAGAGTGACCCATACATAATTGTGGGTGTTCGTATCTCAAGAAGGGTTGACCGTTGACGTCAGGCAGGCGGCCAAAACCGCTTAAAACATGATTATCGTGTCGTGCCGCCCCCACCTAAGTGGGATAACAGAAGGATGATGATGCTGATAAATTAATTTATCCGAAGTTAAAGTTATTGGGCTTAATTGAAGATACAAATATCCATATTTACATTCCCTAATTTTAGAATGGCATCGAGTACCAATAATAAGATTCCTCAACACTATACGGTGGTAGGGGCATGTAGCAGTCTCGGCTGTTTCATACCCCTACCACCATGAATGGGCAGGCCCGTCCGGGTAAGTACCACGACCTCACAGAAGACCTGCGTAAAGTGGAAGTATGACAAATACTTCCGCATTTCGTCCGGTGAGTGAGGTAGCCGAAGCCCAATTTTCAAAAGGTTGTCAACGCATCTGTAACCCTCGGGTGTACCAGATGTCCATGGGCGGCGGTATTCACTAAGCATCAGGTTACTCGTCTGCTCATTTGGCAACTTTTCGCATAAAAAAAAAATATCTGTTTTTTACACTGTACTTTTTGGCAAGTAAAATTAATTAAACACCCACTTATGTACATTTCGATCATATTAATATAAACTGAAGCGAAACCACTTTATTTCCTGAGTTTTTAACTGGTTAATCACATTATTTTTATACGTGTACCAGTTGTACAGTTGATCATTCACAAGATCCGCAATTTACGCTATTTTCTCTTTTTTATTGTATTTTTACAGTTTTAGAATGTTTAGTGATTGGAATGACGATTATAAGGTGGACATTGGTGTATGAAGTTCGATGATATTACATTTTGTTTCATTTTTTTAGATTAAATTGCCAGGAGAAATACGATTAGGAAACAAAGTTAGGTAGACATGGTGCCAATATAAAATTCTAATACAATGATTAACAAAATAAAAATGACACATCAAACATAACATAACGTAGGTAATTGCACAGAAATTCCTACGAAAAAAATATTAGATACAGTAACTAAAATAATAAAAAACATCAGTAGACCATTCAAGTGAATAATTTCAGGAAATGGTCCGATAATTTCAAAAGGATTACCTTCTTTAAGGGTATCGAGTTTCGTTGGTGAAGAAAGGAAGCGAATAAGGATAAAAGTCCGCCTCTGGTCTCTAGTAATCTAATATCAAACCAAATATTTCTGCATTATTTCATCAGTAAACAAACAAATGATAAAGATTTACCTTTGGCCAGTAACAATAAAATTGCGTGGTTAGAGTTTTTATAATTTCTTATCCTTAAAAATAATCAAGCTCTGGTACAAATCCTGTTACAGATTGGGGCTGAAAGTAGGGTACATCCTAATTTTTTTTTACTTAACTTGCAATGAAAAACAATTTAGTATTTTTCTTTTTAATTGTATTTATTATAAATACATAACTGAAAGTTATATAAAATAAATAACTCAAAAGCTACTATAAAAGGAGGAAACTATTTTCTATAACAAAATCTATTCTATATCAAATCAATTTGTGCTACAAAAGAAGTGGCTGCGTGACCACATAGGTGGCAGTGGTTGTAGTGCTGCCGTTGTAACTTCAGTTTTCTGTGAAATTTTTTTTCGAGGACTGCCATTTGATTTCTTTGTAAAATTTGAAATTTCTTACTACACTCCGGAATGTTTTCAAAAAATAGAAAACATTTACTCTTTTTCAAAACATTGCCAACACGAAAGTCAGATTTTTTTTGTAATGAAATTTAAAAATGTGTTCATAAACTTAAAAACCGACTTTGTATTTATTTCATTTTCAGCATTGCTTGACGTTATCTAATGCGCTTCCTTCACAGCAAACACTTCCATGAATAACATTTTTTACAATTACAGACTTTTGCCTAGCACTATAAAGTAAAATTTAAAATTATTGTTTTTAAGGGCTTAGAATTTATAAATAATGCAAAATATTAAAATCTGGAATAGATCACCACAAATATGTTCAGAGATAATCTCCTTACAAGAGGAATTTGGTCCGCACCCATTGATCGTATGGCTCTATTTGAGGTAGAAAGCTAATCTCGTTCATAATAATAGATATTGTTCAGCAAGTAGAAAGCTATTTGTCGTCGACGTTTGTCAACGGATGGATCCAATAAAATGAAAGTTATGAATTTCATTAGACATTTCTGTGCGCTTATATCGCTTTTATCGATACAATTTCACTGACTAATTAAATAGACTAACTTAATGTACACTCCTTAAGGAGTATTAATTAATACCTTAGTTGCTAATAATAGGGTGAAACATACATGAGTACGCATGCAGTCGATGTATAGGTTTTAAAATTATATGAAACAAATATTTGTTTCATTTGTTGTATCCGTTCCTTCTCATGACACATACGAAATTTTTTTAATATTTAAGGAACGGTTTCTTATTTTCATAACTTTGACATTTTATATATATATATATATATATATATATATATATATATATACGAATTAATTAGAAAAAAGTACCCGCCTGCAACACCCTGCAAGTTTGCCTCTTGTTGAGAGGCTCTCTCCGGGTGGTGATCTTCCCTGGTCAGTTTGAAGTCTCTAAACAGACTTCAATCTAGCGTAGGACGATGCCAGACTAACATAGTGAAGTACCTACGAAGACCTGCTGGAAGCCAATTCTGCTGCGGTGGATGTGGCCAAATACTGGTCGAACGAGATCTTAATAGACATTTTGACGCGATAAGGAGAAGAATTAGAAAATATATTTGTTACCTGTTATGACTAACAGCCGTATTTTAAGACTTACGAGATTATTTTGTTCGTTGGTACAGTAAAACTAAATGACACTTTTACACAAAGACCTCGTTCGTAATAGCCAAGCGTGAAAATGAACGGATACTCTGCCTACATTTTTTGTAATCGAATATACGTAAGTAGCGAAGAAAGAATTTCGTTTTTGGGGCGTTCTCGGTTTTTAATTGCAACAGTTTCGGTTTTATGGCACAATGTAATGAACAAAACTATATTGTTAATTGTGTACGGGTGCTCCCTTGTATAGAATATTATTTGATGACTGTATAATCGAACTTACGATCATACAGTCATGGTTTTCCAGACTGCTTACGTGAGAAAATCACGGTCCCGTAATTGGACCGGTGTCACCTTTTGGACATAATATGCTTGATAAAAATTGTATGTAATAAACAAATGCATATACAAACACTATATGTAAGTGTTTTATATGCTTTTGTTTACTACGCGAAACTGCTTCGATTACTTCTCTATCTCTATCTCTTCACAATTTTTACGGAAATACTTAATCTTTTTCACCCAGCGGGAGGTTGCAAAACCTACATTCGAATTTAAGAAATTGAAAGAACACTATATTCGTCCAATTACAACATAGATTTACTTTGATTTTCAGGTGTATCCATTAGTAAAATCTATATCATTGTCCTGAACATGGAACAAGTGAAACAAGTGAAACTTCACAGATTGTTACTTATATTACCTTACACGGAGTAGTACTGCTTTCATCTCTGGGCGGGAACCCTCATTACCAGTTTCTTCTGTTTGTCCACAGTCAACGCAGGGCGGCTCGGGTTGTCGATGATCAAAGTCTTTCCGATCGGCTTGATCCTGTGGCTCTGCGTAGAGATGTTGGATCACTCAGCATATTCTACCGCATATATGACGGGGAATGTTCCTAGGAATTGTTTAGATTGATCTCGGCGGCTGAATTTCTCCATCGGACACCGCATAAACCATAAATTTTCCACAGCTCCAACCACCTCGATGTCCAGCGTGATTTTAAAGGCTATTCCTCACAAAACCACTCTGTGGAACCAGCTGTCACCGGCGGTCTTTCCGAACCGTTATGACCCGGGAACCTTCAAGAAGAGCATATTCTTTCCTGAAAGACCGGCAACGTATTTGTAAGCTCTCCGGGCGGCGTTGGAAATGTTCATGGGCGGCGGTGATCACTTTCTATCAGCTGAGCCTCCTTCCTGTTTGCCCCATTTTTTCCATAAAAAACCTCATCGATTTCAACCTCTTTTGGAATGCCA